AAAAGACCAGAGTGCACTGACTGCTACTCATCAAGCTGTGTGTGTGTGTGTGTGCGTGTGCGTGTGCGTGTGCGTGTGTATGTTTATGTGTGTACCTTGCAGCCATGAGCAGAAACAACCCTAATGTCAGCAGGGATCCTGTCTCCTCCCTTCACTTCAATCATGTCTCCAGCCACCACTTCCTCAGCGTTGATCTGTACCTTCTCACCCTCACGGATCACCAAGGCTTGCTTCAGGGAGATACCAGTGATGGTTAGAAAATACACACACATACCGGACACTAGTTACAGAAACATTGTCTCTTAGAATATGAGGAGTTACAGCAAAAAGCAAAGACCTTTTTATCCCATCATGTGGAAAGAACTATTCTAAAACTGACTAAAAATACCATTAGCAGAGAATTTGAAATCAAAACACATAATATGCATAACTATTTGCGTAACAACAATGGAAACCAACAGCTGTGCCACCTTTTATGATAATACAGTATTTAACAGTTATCTCAGTGGCAAGCAAAGACCTATAATTTCTTGTGGCAGTTAATTGTTTCCAAAAATCCTAAAAATATTCACTTGGCTCATGGCTATATGATTAGAGTTCCTTTTCCGGAGGGAATCAAAAATAAACTTCCACACAAAAGTCCATGACCAAACACATATTTACCTGAGGCACCATGTTCTTGAAAGACTCCATGATTTTGGAGCTCTTGGCCTCTTGAAAGTATGAGAAGCAACCAGTAATGATGACAACAGCTGTGAGCACAATACCTAGGTACAACTGGAGAGAGAGAGAGAGAGAGAGAGACAAAGTCAAACATATGTGAGTGTGGGATGTGGGAAGGCACTGGGTACAGAGTGATATTAAAATCGCTTTGCCGAGGTGTTATTTATGTCTGGACTTCAGAGGCAGAAGTGCGATGGATGTGTTAATAAGGGGCCGGATGTGAACGTGTGTGTGTGTGTGTGTGTGTGTGTGTGGATTACTCACATTATCTCCTGCAGGATCGTCCTCAGTGGCTGCCTGGATGGCGTAGGCCAGGAAGCAGAGGATGGCGCCGATCCACAGAAGGACGGAGAATCCACCAAACAGCTGGCGACAGAACTTGACCCACTCCGGGGTGGTGGGAGGAGGGGTAAGGGCATTGGGACCATCCCTGATCAGAAACTCTGCTGCCTTGGCATTGGTCAATCCCTGGAGTTAGCAGAGAAAGGCGAGTTTGGTAACTCATGTGAAGCCAATAAAAACACAGATTTCTTAAAGTTTGTTAACATTTTCATATTTCTTTAGTATGACTTTGGAGTCTAGGGGACTGTTTGGTTGTATTGGAAAAAAATGTAATGCCACCTAGTGGCCAAAAGGAAAAACAGTCTCAAATCATTGCAGCTCATACAGAGACAAATGATATCAACAGCTCACCTGGACAATGTCAGTCTGGAATTTCCTGCATACTTCCTCTATGGACATCTTATGTTCTGTCTGAAAGAAAAAAGATACAGAGATAATCAATACTCATTCTGTAGCTCAGTATGTTCAGTAGTTGCATGCAAGGAAAACTTGTAAAAAGTAGTCCAGATTAAAATTAAATTTTCTCTATGCATGCAGTTCACCTGAGAGATAAGAGTATCAGGGCAGCCAGATATGGCGGCCCAGGTGTCTGTTTCTTGCGCTGGGATGTAGGCTCAAAGTGACGACCTCCTGATAACAAGTCACCCCTCTTACCAGCAAAAATAAAATTTGTATGGCCTGTATGAGAAAGATTTACCTTCTCTCCAACAGAGTTTGTGTCAATTCACTTTACTTTACCATAAGCACTAAGAAGATGCTCTTCAAAACTTGAAAATAAATTACCTAAAGTCCTCGGATGTTGTAAAAAATCTTTTGAAATAATTACAGAATCTTATGCGTCACATTAATCAGCTTTTAGCTGACAGGATGAAACTTTATGCCAACATTCAGTTCCACAAGTATACAGAGATAAGAGGAAGTTTTACTTACAATGGGCACTTCCTTCTTCAGGTCATCCATGTCCTTGGTTCCCCCCTTCTTCTTCTTGGGGGATCGGTCATCTTTGTCCTGTGTGGTGGCAACGCGGTAACTGTCTGACCGCCCATACTACAGACACACACACATGTTTTATACATGCCTTCGGACTAGATTAAGGAGATAGTAGCCCGGGTGCCTTTGCGTATAATCTCAACTGTTCTTTGGGCTTGTACATGTACATTATATTAACTAAAAACTATAGTTTGTCTCTGAAAATGCATTAAAAGCTTAAATTGTTCAGAGAGCTGTCTTGCCTGGAATTGTAACAGTATTCACCAGTCACTGACTACAACAAAAATTAAGCCAGTGGGCTTTGTTGAATGGCTCTTGAGGTTTCTCTTATTCACCATACAGTAAATAAGGTTGTATCCCTGTGAAGTGGCCTTGTGAGCATGTAGAATGTATTTCTCAAAAAGTAATATCATCAATTATTCCCAGTATATAAGGAAGATGAAGAGCATTAATATAAAAACATATTATCATAAGAATTGTTAAAGACTTCAAAGGTTAGTGAATTACCCTGGTATCTCTTGTTTTACTGAACAAAACCACACGCATTAAAAGTGCACTATCACCACACATTAAAGCATGCACCTGCTGTCTGCCCTGCCACATCCATTTGATCTCCACTGATCAAATAATTCTCACTGATGTCCACAACAGCCTGATGGACACATCACAACATAATCAAGTGCAAATGGTTTAACCAGTAGGTCTTAGCTAATCGCTTCCTGGTCTTTTTCATTTATCTAGCAGCAAGCATTAAGGACATGAGAGAGAAAGAGAGCAAAGAGTTTATACTCATCAAAGGCTTCCTGATTAGATTCGAGTATGTTCTACACTCTTAGACCAGGTACATCAGAGACACTCTGATGTCACTAATACTAAAAAAATAAATAATATGCGCGCACACACTTCAAATGACCTTGTCCTCTTCTGCCTGCTTTACTGCCCTGCCTGTTATTCCAGGTCCCTTCCTTACTATAATTGTCCCTTTAGAAATTGACTTGAGTGAGTGGACTATTAATAACCCAAATTTCCTCCAGCAGTGCACATTCAAGTCCTTCTAGGTCTATAACTGTAACTCTAGCTTGTTGTCCGGATGGAGAGCAGTCTGACTGCTGGGCCACATCAATACAAATGTCCCTCACCAAAGGTCAGAGGTGACATAGAGATGCAAAAATCCCTCCCAGTGGTGTGAGTGGGTCCCAGTGGACGGGCCCTTCACTGACACAACCTAGTCATCGAGAAAACTGTCCTTGGTGGCAGATCAATATAGTCAGATATACACTGATGGCTTGAAGCTGGGGTTTGCAAGCATGACAGAGTGTCAGAGTTGCAAAGTACAGTTGTTATGGAACCTACTATTATTTATCCTGAATCAGAGAGAAACATCAATACCTATCAACTGATAATCAATGACAACAATCCTCTTAATTAAAGATTGTGTGTGATATGTGTGTTAAAAGATCAGAAAATGACGTTAAAGGTTTAATTTATGGCTGCTTGTTTCTCCACAGGAAACCAAAGAGCAACTGTCTGCTGAAATTCACTAAAATACAGTAAGCACCCTCTAGTGGTACAACCAGGTAGTAACATTCTCAGGAGTGTAAAAATGTACAGGTAACTGCTGCTTGGCTGCTTTATGTGCAACTGATATTGTAAAACAGATATGAACTACAAAGAAGCAAACTGATCTGTCCTCCGACAAAACTCTTAAAAGTATGTTTACTTTTAAATAAACCAGTTCAAATTCACTGGCCAATCTTTCACATTTACAAAAGCACCAGTGAGGAAGTATGAATGAATAGAGATCCCTTGTCCTCCACACATCTCGATTCAACAAACTCGCCACACCAAAATACACACATCTGCAGTGCGTCAAAAAGACTAACAAAGACCTCAACCTGCCACCGCATTTCACACTTGCTGTTGCTGTTGAAACTATTGTGAAATCATGCTACGTTCTGAATTTCTATGTGGTAACAAAGACCTGTAATTCTGGTTTGTCATCATACAAAAAGGGATTCGTGAGACAACATGTGGACTACAACTCTCACTCACTTAATAAATTGTGGCGCGCGGTCTGCTCAACAACCGCTTCTGAATTCAAAGCAAACAATGAAACTATTCGTTCGAGCATGTCAGGCAGAGAGTAGCATGTCAGTGGGAGGGAGCTGTTTGCCCTAACTGTGAATACACACACACACACACACACGCAAACAAGCATACATACAGAGTTCTGCAACAAAAGAGCAGGTGAGCAAATCTCTTGCCACAGCAAGACCAGGCAGGCCTGGTGAGGCAGAGGCTCAATAAAGCAGAGAGTGATGCAGTGGAAAAGTACTGCTGCTCATCCCCTCTGAGACAGACCCAGGATCTGTGTGTCTTAATGTCTGTGTGTGTGTGTGTGTCTGTGATTGAGAAAGAGGGGGTGTTGGTATATTTATGTCTATGTACATATTATTCATTGTATTTGTGGGTATAATATTGTGGTTGTAGCTAGTTTTTCCACAGATAAGGAAGAACACTGCTTTTCTACACTTATGCACACTGAAATTGATAACGTACTGTATATGTAGACACACACAGGTCCTTCTCTCCCTATCACAAACACACACACATATGTCCAGACAATAGAAGTGGTTGGTAGGGAGGTGGAGAGGAGTGCCAAACAAAGCTGCATGTGGTGAAAAGTAGAGACACAGAGAGACGGATGTTAAGGGGGTGGATGACAGACGGGATTGGGCACATGGAAAGGGAGACATCAGTGGGAGGTGAGAAGCGGGGACAGATAAAGAGTGAGAGAGGCAGGTGGATAAAGGGACCGAGAGTGAGTGAGTGAGTGAGAGAGAAGAGCCGTTGTCACCCTTCTCTCATGCTTCTAATTAGATATTGACCAGCAGTCTTTGTCTGCTGGCTCTCTGTCAGTGTTTGACCTGCAGTGACCCCACTCCAATAGATAGAGTATGTGTTCTAATATGCTAATAGATTATATTCTCCCGATGTGTCCTTAAGTGTGTGTATGTTTGCGGATATAAATGAGTAGTTATCAGCATGACCCACAAAGAAAAGAGTGGTTGCTGGTTTATCTTTGCTCTGTGTTTACAGTATGTTGAGTATGTTAAGTGCATACCTGTTTTGGCTTTGTGTGAGTGTATGTGTGGGTGTGCTTGCCACTCAATCATTAATTCTCTCCTTTCTCCCCTCCAAACACACCCTGCTGCCTGATAAGATGAGTCTTCATCGCACCAACAGTATGTCGCTAACATTTCTGCAAAAACATGAAACAAGTAAAAGACTTAAAACTATATATTTTCCTGCCTTTAAATCTGTTATTATTGTAGTTAGCTCTCATCTTCTGGTCTGTTTTTATGTCTATCCATTGCTTAATAATTCAGCAAAGACAGAGTCTATGTACACATAAACAATCTCATTATCTGTTCTTTTGCAGAAAACCTCAAGATGCGTGTGCGTGTCCAGCTGTCTCCACACAGCTCTGGGTAATGTAATAAGCCCCCTCTGTTCTAAGGAAGGAAACAGAGACTCATGGCTGGAATTACAGACACTCGCTCTCCCACAAGCACACAGACGAGCAGACTGATGGACAGAAACATCTCTGACATCATCAGGAAATGGAAACACTGGATGCTCCTCTATGGATTACATTGTGCATTCATGCACATCCAGTTACATATCTGCTTAAAAGAATCTGCTTAAATATCAATAATCAAATAAAGCCTTCACATACTGTATTTGGTTGTGTGTTTGATTTGATCATAAATTATTTTACAGGTCTGCTCGGTAACAAAGCTAAACCTTGCATTTTGTCCTCATGTGGACAACTGAGTTGTTTGGAGGGCAAGTAACCATGGTGACCGGTACGGTTATTGGCATGGTGACGAAGCTCAGCAGTGGCCTAGCACTCCTAAAATCCCCTGATGTGATCTGGGACGAGTAATAATTGATGCATCTGTAACTGGACACTGTATTCACTGCTATATAAAACAGACAGGCAATTGATGGAAGGAATTAGTGTGTTTGTGCACGCTTGTGTCTTTGTGTGTGTCTCTATGAGCAGAGGTGAGTCATTGTGTTGGCTACAGTCCGTATGAGCAGCGTCTACACGCATTGCGGCAGAGAGAGTGAGGGAGTGAATGAGAGAGAGAGAGAGAGAGAGAGAGACCTGATTGTGAAACAATATGTTAAGACCCAACTTAAAAACTTTCTGGAATGTAGAGTAGCAGTTATCAGTGTTGTTTCTAACTTGACTGGGTGAAAGGCAAATTTGGACTTCTTGCGTACCATAAAAGTACATAGTATAATTTATAATAATAATTTATTTTGGCAGTCTTGGTATTTGGCAGTGTGAAATCATGATAACACTACTCTAGTATATTGCACACATCGTGTACCTACGAAGTAACATGTTCAAGTTAGGAGTGACACCTGAGACAGCTATCATGTCAAGCATGTTAAAGACAACCGGTCGAGGCATGCCCCCTGATGGTGGCTTTCACTAGGATGTAGCATTTTTTTCTTCCCCTTTAATCACACGCAGGAACTCCTGCAACAGGAAGAAATTACATACACAAATTCAAAAAGTAAGAATGGTGATAATGGGAGATTTCAGTTCACTTTACGTGGAACTCTTATAGGGAAGTGGTGTGTAGTTGGACAAAATACCAACAGGCTCCACATTTATATTTACATGAGTCAACACTTCCTCTTTGTACAGAGCAGCCACATGTTAGTCACATCACTGACCACGTGAGCTATGTCATAGCCTTGCTGAGTTTTTCAAACAATGATGGCAGAATGTAATACTGTTTTCTGTGTCTTATACAGGGTCATTTAATTTGCTCTGCACTAAATTGATCAAAACTGGATCTTCTCTATGAATTAATAAATATATGAACCCCTTAAGATAACATTTAAGATGCCTTTATGAAAATGTAAAAGGTGTAAGAAGGTATGAAAATGGTATAAATTTAATTTCTGCATCAGTAGACATGCTACTGTGCGTGTGGTGTATTTGTGTCATTGCATGCATGTGTGTGACCTTGCAA